ATATATATATTTTAGTGTAATAATATTTCACAATATTACTGTTTTACTGTATTTTGATCAAACAAATGCAGCCTTGGTAAACATAAAAAACATTATTATTACTTCTTACAAAAACATTAAAATCTTACTGATGCCAAACTTTTGAACAATAGTGTAAATACTTAGGATGGCTATTATTGCTGAGCTGTCACAAACCTATGATGGCCTTAATGTAAATATTTAATTGTCAAATACACTTGCATGCTTGGAAAGCTGTTAAAGGGTAAATTTTACAAAATGTATCAAGAACTCAAGAAAATGAAATGGTCATATTTCAAACTAAAATCTAAATTAAAATGAAAAAAAATTAATTTCAGTTAAAAAAAAAGTTAACCATAATGAGAATAATCATGGAGAAAGATTAAACAAACAAACTAGAACTAAAATAAAAAAACTAACTAACTAACTAACTAATGATAAAAACAAATACATAAATATATGTAGGAGTCAAATGTGACCAGGATATGTCTTTGTGAGTTTCCCCCTAAACCTGTCTGCATGTAAATATAATTTAACATGCCATGTTGACAGTCTATTACTCACCTCCAAGAAACTGTATGCCCCCGGCTGCACGTCCAATGGTTCTGGAGATGAGTTCTGATATGCAGCAGCCTATGAGCGCCGTAAGTGCCACCAGCAGCAACAGGCCGCATCCAACCCCCGTCACGACTGTACAAATCCTCCACTCCACGCTCGGGATACCCTGAAAGCTTGCATAGCGTCCGCACTGCTCCAGCATGACCGTAGCCTGCCTCTCTTCGTCCCGAATGGGGTACGAGCACCGCCGGAAAGTACCAAAGGACACTGGCTTATTCATCTGTGAGCCCAGCAGCCAGTAGGGCATGAAGAAGCCCACGCAGGAAGCTGCTGCGCTCAACAGGGACACCAGAGCCCAGATCATCCCTGTACATGTGAGGCTGGATGCCATTCTGGAGAAATGTCTTTAAATATTGGCCACAATTCCTGAAGAGAGCTTGGAAAAGAGTAATTCCACAAAGAAATAATTCCTTTTGCCTTGCTGGAAAGAGGATTTCTATTTCCATACAGTTTTCACCATGGTTCTATGTGCAGTCACCTGAGAAAAAAGCAATAAAACACACTATCCCATCAATCTTTACAGAAAGAGTAACAATTCCTGTTATCTGCAACAGCATTCATATACACTATACTGGTCAAAAGTCTGGGGTCAGTAAGATTTTAATAAATTACTTTCTTTTAAAGAAATGAACACTTTTATCCAGCAAGAATGCATTAAATTGATCAAAAGTGACAGTAACCTTTATAATTTTACAAAAGATTTAGATTTCAAATAAATGCAACTTTCTATTCATCAAAGAATCCTGAAAATGCATCACAGTTTCCACAAAACACTTTAAACAGCACAACTGTTTTCAACATTGACAATAATAACAAACGTGTCTTGAGCAAATCAGCACATTAGAACGATTTCTGAATGAACATCAGGTGACACTAAAAATTGGAGTAATGGTTGCTGAAAATTAAGCTTAACCATCACAGGAATAAATTACAATTTAAAATATATTAAAATAGTACTGGTTTTACTGTATTTTTGAGTAGATACATGCAGCTTTGGTGAACATAAAAACCTATTATTAATTACTATTATTATTAATAATTATTATTACTATTATAAATTATTATTTGTTATAACGATTTTAATAAACCAGCCCCAAATTTCCGTACTTTTAAAATTCAGGTTATGTAACCAAATGTATTTTCTGGACACTTAATTTTATAATTTTACTGCACATTTTCACTCTTGGTAAGTAATTAGTAGTACATTTCAATGTAATATGAAATATATCAAAAGTTTCATGACATTAACTAATGATGTTAAGCTTCTAAAGTTTAATTTAATGTTTGTTGATGTTGTTAATTAAAGTTGCCACCCAACTTATTTAAAACAGTGCAAGAAGAGTTAAGAGCAGTCCATATAAGGCTGAGAGGGGAGTCTAAAATTAAATATTTACACAAAAGATTGCAGATGAATACTAGCAAAGAAAAAAAGAAAAGAAATAAAAGAAAATGTCTCATGTGGTAACATCTACATTCAATAATTTTATTAAAGGATTTGATAATTAAAATGAATCTGAATACACTAAGTTGAATAGAACTCATTTTAAGGGTCGGAATTCCTTATGGTAACAACTGCACATTTTTACTTTTTACTGATATATCAGTGAAATTATAACTCTTATTAATAAGACATAATATGATGACATAGCTATAATATCTTATTAATAAGACATAATATGCATGACATATCATCTGTGCTGAGCTTGTGTACATTTATATTTAAGGGTGTTAAGGATTATATAATGTAATCATATTAATAATATGAATGTAAATTACTATAAAGTAGCCTAATTCCCAAGAAGAAAGTTTAAAAGGCTGAGTGGTCATCTATTATTAGTGCCTCTTCATGAAAGTCCTGATATAAACAACTGCCATGCAAAACACGCCATCATGCGCAATCCATTAATCATCATAAAAAATATAATAAAAACATCCTATGTGATAACTTACATTATCATGTGATGACTTCGTGGGACCGTGGAGAAGAAATCAACTTTGTCGGCTGAACGGGGCGCAACTCACGCAGAAAACATGAATTAAATTCCTTTAAATGGGGTCTGCTGAGACCTGCTTATGTCTTTCTGTTTATGTCACTCCTGCAGGACAGCGTTAAAATAATCCCAGCGTATTTCAGAAGACACACTACAGGCTGTATCGAGCTGCCTCTGTATCCACGCGCTGAGCTCAGTGTGGCAGAAGTAGACTACAAGAGTCTTGAGCGCGCTGGCTTTAGCTCACACTCACTCGAGCTCCGCCCACCGTTCTGCTGCTTTTTAATCACAGCGGGGCTAGCTATCACACTTTTTACTCCAGGGAATATTTCGCATAGCAGATTTATTTTAAAAACAGTTTCTGTACAGACACGTAAATAAAAAACTACAACAACAACAACAACAACAACAACAACAACTATTGAACATATACATGGCCAGGTGAAAAAGATGAACGTCCCCCAGGGGCCGCAAGGGAGTACTAGGGGGTCAATAGAAAAGTTTAGTGAAGAAAAAGTAAAAATTTCATTAAAAAATTGTTATAACTAGCTAACTTTAATAAGTTAATTTATATATAATTTTTATTTAATTTAATTTTTAATTTTAATAAAATTAAAAAATGTAAATAAGAAACATTTTTAAAATAATAAACAATACAGCTAACGTAATGTACTATAGTGAGTAAAACACATAATTAAAAATCATAAGATAATGTAACGTAATAAACTAAACGATAATGTAAAGATAATATAAAGTAATTAAAAGTAAGAAACTAAATTATTTTCCAAATAATATTTTACACATATTTATAATATTTTCAAAGTAAATGTAGTCAAATACAAATAAAAATATTAGCTGCCTTGTAAATTTTAGGAGGGGGTCCATTGCATGAGGATGGTTATATTTGGGGGGCTGTGGCTAAAAGATTAAGAAGAAAAAACCCTGATCTACAGTAAACAATGGTGACTTCTGTTTGTTCTCCTTGGACTTTCCCAGACTTGACTAATGAGTGCAAAATAAGCCACTGATTAAAAAGTTACTAAGGGAGAGTTGTGATGGGAATGGGATAGGATGGAAGACATGGAGCATGTGTGTAAAGCTCAAGAGATGCTGGTGCAAAGTGGTGCATGCTGGAGAAGTGACCACAGCTGTGAATAATTCACAAAGCCTTCACTTCCAGAAACACCACAGAGAGCGTAACCCTGTGTCTCACCTCCTTTCTCAATTTAATCCCTCTGAGGAGAAATGGGCTAAAATTCAATTGTTTTTGCCCTCTCGGGTCCAATATCTGTAGTTGTTGTGATTATTCATTGTCAAGATAACTCCCCTTTTCCCTCTGGCAAGGTGAAGTTAATGTCAAGGCACTGGTTTGAAGCGATTTGTTGCCTTTTAACAGCAGTTATATGTGCCATTGGTTGGGGAATTAAATTGACAACAAGTTGTCACCTCAAAAGATCACTGTTTTTATTGTGTTTGTGAACTTAAGAGTTCAACTTTAAATCCCCTGAAAAAGATCCCAAACCACTTTCAGTGGTCTGCCAGATTGCTTATATATATATATATATATA